TTTTTGCATTCTTTCTTTCTGAAAGATATTAATAACCTGATGTGACAAATTATTAGAGGGGAGAAACACAGAACAAAATACGTTTTGCTAAAGATGCCTTTCTACCCATACCTACAGTGAAACACCTGTACTCGCCCCACCTCAGTCTTGCTCCAATTAAGCAGGACCCAAACCAATGCTGAAAGGAAGTGTCCCCACAAAAAGGTCAATTAGAATCAGACAGTAACACTGCTGGCCTTGGCACAGGGAACTGCTTCCTAATGGCAACAACTACTGCAAGGAGATGCTGGTTTAAACACTGTCTGACCCAGGCTAGTCAGAACTAGCCATTTCACCAAACTAAAATACAGTTCTCCTCTGGACTGACTGGCATTTCCAGAGCATATTTGCTCATCTTTCTGCAAACTCAGCCTCAGGCATATGAAAGTCAAGCCGTGCTCTTCCTGGTTCACGAGACGAGATTCTCCTGACCAAATGCTGCCCTCAATTACAGCCGTGCAGTCCTGGCTCTGGGAGGGGAACTGGAATACAAAGCAAGCACAAATGTGACAAAGGCAGCACACGTGGCTCGGGATGTACACGAGGTGACATTCTGAGGTGATTATTGTGATCCACCCTAACTTTAAAGCAATGTCTGTAACCAGCTATTTGAGACAAGCAGAGGGAAAAACTGCAATCTGAAAAGAGAATCTAAGTAAGGATTTTTAGATGAAGTCCGTTCCAAGCTCCAAGACACCCCTGTGGGAACACATTTGAACCTGTTTCCTCTTGCCTGTGAACACTGAAGAAGGGGTCTGTTGGTTTTTCCAGTGCCCAGCACAGGGAGCTGACTATGCCCTATAGAGTGCACAGGACCAATTTACCTGTTCAGTGACACGGGAAGGAATGGGGTTCTTTAATTCCTCTTCAGTCTTTATTTCCGTTTCAGAACATCTTAACCATAGACTCCTAGTGTTCATGGAAGCAGCAGATGCCAATTGTTCCATTTCTTTCCTCCTAAATAAGGTCTATTCATTCTATTGCAACCCAGTGCCAGGTGGAGCACAGATACCAAATCTGGAATCTATATAGCAAGTTTCCTACCTTTCTTGATTTCAGTTTGGGAGAATTATGATGATTTCCCAAGCTAATGCTTAGGAAAGAAATGCTTAGAGCTGATTTTGTTTTCTTCTAGGGAATGAAATACAATAAAACCTACTTACTTCTGAGTGCTTTGGAAATAATTGCTCTTTTGTTCAGATGATGCTTCTTGCTCTAAGTCAAAGGGAGGTAAATCCAAAGCAAATACTTGAAACCAGTGGAATAACCTTTTCAATGTGACCCTTTGTTTTCACAAGCTTATATAAAAAATACTTGACTAGCAAAATCTACAAATTATAAATAATAATAAACTACAATTTTAGTTTGACTGAGAGGAAAAAATTACTCTAATTTTTTTTTTAAAGAATAAAAATCTAAGCTTTTCCAAATATTGCCAAAAGTTAATGGAACTGTGCAGCAATAATTACAGCAGGAGCAGCAAAACAAGCATGACCTCAGTCCTGGCCACAGTCATGAGCCTTTTAGAAAAGTCAAATCACTGCCTTTCCACACAGCTCTGCAGGAATGACGCTGCCCTCCAAATAACAAAGAGCTTCCTAACACCTTATAAAGCAAAGAATTCTATTTTCCATGAGAGAAGCAGTATCCAGTCACCAGCCAGGTGGAATAATCCCAGGCTCTTTTGTTTTCAATAGGATCATACCCATATTCCATTTGTTTATTATAATGCTTGGCTTTTCCCTCACCTATTTCCATGACCTTCACATTTCCATGAGACAAGACTAAGTACTATCACCCTACCCAATTTCAATTACTGGTTTGATATTTTGTTGCTCAAAGCTGTCAAATTCGGTGTGATTGCAGACTCAGAGAAAGAAGAAATAGAAATGCGATTATCACTGGGAGAAAAGTTTTGAACCATCTGCAAAAAATAGCAATAATAATGAAACATACTCTCCCAAAGATGCCATATATCACCTTTGTTTAATATTTTTGTCAGTTTTGCTTAGAAAAATTAATGCCTTGGGAGAAAATAATTGAAAGTGTCTTTCTGGAGTACTGTAAGCATCCCCTTGGGGTCTTTATTATTCTAACAATTTCCCTTTTCAAAATACACAGGTACTAACAACCAACAAATTATTACATTTCCTTTAAATGAACTGAAACAACAAAGATAATTAACTAAGAACATAAGCCTGCTTTCCATATGGTAATACACATCCCAAGGGCAAAGCATTTCTCTTTTAAGGAATTCCCCACAGAATTCTTATCCACCTTGTAAGGGTAATTAACAACTGCAAAACACAACTGAACTTGCTTAATGTCACAATATTCTGCAATGGATTACTTTTTCATGGAAAATGAATATGATCTGTAAAAAGGAACGTAGGACCTTGGAAGAATAAGGCATTATTTGCTGTCATGGAGCATGCTGATGTAACTCACAGTATGATTTAAACTCTTAGAAGGTGGTTAAAAAATATTTACATTGAGGTTTATGTCAAAAAGAAAATTAAAATGGGAAGCCTGGTTTCCCACTTAGCTAAGTAGTAGTTTGTGATATTTTCTGTGAACGACAATTTTTGGGGAAAAAGAAAGGAACATATTGGTTAATAGGTACCTAATGTGTTAAAAATTAGGTTAGATAAGGCAAACCATAGTCTCATTATAATTTTATTAGTTGAAGCAAACAGTACACAGAATACTAATGCTTTCTTAGCAAGCACAGTGCATATTAAAATTCAAAAGCATCTTGTCTACACTACAATTTTAAGCCTGGAAGGTGTACTAGGCAACAAGCCTATTGTTACTAGGAACAATATAAGGAAGAATGGTTTAAGTGGAATGAAATTAAAACTCAAAAGCTGAAACCAGGGTAAGCACAGGGGAGCATGGAAGGTAAAGAGATTTTTTTGGATTGCCCATATCTGAGGTCCCCAACAGAAGAAAGACATGGATCTATTGGAATGAGTCCAAAGGAGAACCATTTCAAGGATTACAGGGCTGGAGCACCTCTGCTGTGGAGACAGGCTGAGAGAGTTGGGACTGTTCAACCTGGAGAAGAGAAGGCTGTGGGGAGACCTTGGGGTCCCTTCCAGTGCCTGAAGGGGCTCCAAGAGACCAGAGAGGGACTTTTCACAAAGACATGTAGTGACAGGACAAGGGGGAATGGCCTTAAGGCAAAGAAGAGTAGGTTTGGATTAGGCAGTAGGAAGAAATTCTTTATTGTGAAGGTGGTGAGGCACTGGCACAGGTTCCAGGCAGGCCATGCAGTGACAAGTAACCCAATTCTAGTTACTATTCAAGTTTTCATATTTTATTACATGGCTTCAGTGAGGAATTTGACACCTCACTATTGGTGTGGTGTGGACCACTTTAAATACAAGAACATTTTACATGGGAGAAATCACTGAGCTGGAAGAAAGTGAATGATTGGCACAGGGCAGAAGTACTTTTTGCTTCAAGGCTCTGGCCTGTCGTTTGCTGGAAAATCTGTTTTATTAAATGCCATTCACACTTCCCAGATAAGTCACTGAGGGATATGCCAGATTCTTTCCCAAATACTACTTGATACTCAGCGCTGATCACTGATGCGAACACAACATCTCTTTTGATGTTCCTAAACACTGACGTGTATACATTTCCCAATACACCAAATGTTTATAAGGCTACAAGAGAGTAAGATATCAACCCTTTGGACAGAGAAAGGGCAGAGGAAACTGATTTTATTTAAATAAACACATCAGATACTTACAAGAGTTCAGGAAAATCCAATCCAGGTGCCGATTGCCTGTGACTTTTTTTTTTTTTTTTACTGTTACAGCAAGTTTCACTTAAGTGTAATTTCAGTCAATCAAGTAAACATTTATTATCAAGAGACAGGATGTGAGAGGGTAATAATGCAGTGTATGTGTAATAGTGACATTCCAAGAGTCCTTACTGTGGCTTCTGCTGCGCTCCTCTAAAATATCCCTCTCTAATTTCCTACCCAAGCAGACCGAGGTGCAGGATCGTGGCCTAAGTTTGCAGGTGATTTTGATGGCCAAAGGAGCAAATAGAAGCTGACTTAGACACACATTTGGCTGTAGGTGCACTCAGATGCATTTTATTGAACTAAGGCCCCTCATTTGGCTCAGCCAGTCTTTGTCAGACATGACAGCTAAACACACTGATATTGTCCACATCAGGGCTGCTTTTCACTTCTGATGCACATTTCAAAGAAAATAAACGTATTCCAGTGACACCCAGCAATCAGGCAGATTATCAGCATGAAAATACTCCTGTATTCAGGGGCTATACAAAATGTTTTTCTGCTTAGTCCCCTTCAATCATACAAAACATATTAAATCATTTTTTCAAACAGCTCACGGGCTCAGATCACACTTAAAGAATCACAAAGTGCCCTTACATTGAAGTCCTCTAACGCTGATCATTTAACATACATAGTATCTATGGCAATAAATGAAGTAGATTTACCATTAAAGCTGTGAAAATCAAGGATGTTATTACGGCAAGTCTATCCATCACCAGCACTTATTTCAAATGGCCTTATCTGCAGCTTAGGCTTGTATAAAAATTTCTCCAATCAGGCACTGCACAGATTCCAGAGTGATATGTAATAGCACAGCTCTAACACCTATCATGCTTTACAGCACTGTTTAAAAAAATAATGTGAAAATTCAACCAACTAACCCTTGTTTAGTATTTTTGTCTGTATCATCTGCATTACTGTTTTAATCTTCCTCTTTTTCCTTTGTATCAAAACCCATGACAAACTGCACGCCCACATACACATTACCAAGAAGACTCACAGCTAACCCTAATACATTATACTAATTATTTTCTACAAAGGAGTACATTATACTTGATAATAACCAGCAGCAGATAATTATAAATTTTATTTACAAACAGTAGCGGCAAGAAACAAACATTCACAACACGAGCAAAGACGACTTTACCTGAAACAGAGCTCAGATGAAGTGAAAGACCACCGATGTTTCCAAGGTCCCTCAGTAAACGCTGTACATGGCACGTTTCAGACATGGCCACACAGAATGCTAATTATCAGCTAATATCCAAGTGAAAATAATGTAACACCTTTGCTCAGCTGAAGGTTCCAATTCCTGGCAGCTGCTCTAGGGGACGTGCCCAGTCTGCGGCCTGTGCCCTCAGGGCGCCATTTCCAGGCGAGCCCCCGGCCCCTGTTCACCAAGTCCCCTCACAGCCCTCACACTGGGGTGGCATTGGCAGATGCACCTCTTGGCCTTTAATTTCCCATTCTGCACAAGCAAATCACCTGCCTCAGGTACCAACATGGGCTACAAAACCCCCCAAAATCTCCACGAGAGTTTTTTTTCCCTACCTCTTCAGGCACACAGCAGCACTGCCGTGGGCTCAGCACCGCCCAGGACCATAGAGATAATCCACCCTCTGGCCACAGCCTTCCACACAACTGGGATGGTGCTGAGCCTGCTTTATGTAGCATTTCTGATCTCTATTTAGGTCAGGTTCTGTTGCTCCTGATCTTGGTTCAGCCTGCTGATGGGCATTTTGTGGGAGGCAGTACTGCTTGATGGGAAGAAGCACCAGCACAGCCCCAGGCAGGGACATTAAGCTGTTAGAGAGTGTCCAAAGGAGGGCCACAACGATGGTGAAGGGTCTGAAGGGGAAACCCTATGAGGAGCGGCTGAGGTGACTTGTTTTTTTCAGCCTGGAGACTGAAGGGAGACCTCACTGAGATCTTCAATATCAGAGGGGCAAGTACTGATCTCTTCCCTCTTGTGACTAGTGATAGGACTCAGGGAAATGGCATGAAGCTGAGTCAGGGGAGGTTTCGCATATCAGGAAAAGGTTTTTCACCCAGAGGGTGGTTGAGCACTGGAACAGGCTCCCCAGGGAAGCCAAGGAAGTGGTCACAGCACCAAGGCTGACAGAGTTCAAGAAGCCTCTGGACAACGCTCTCAGGCACATGGTGTGATTCTTGGGGTATCCTGTCCAGGGCCAAGAGTTGGACTTGATGATCCTGACAGATCCCTTCCAACTCAGCCTGTTCTGTGATTCTGCATTAACAGCAGGTACCAGTGGCAAAACTGAGAGAAAAATTATTGATCGCGTACTTCAGGCCCCTTCTGCATATTCACTGTTGGAATTGAAAACTTCTGTTCTTAATCCTCTCTCAGTGTTCATCCCTCCTGCACTCACCAGAGCTTTGAGCAGGGCTGGCATCTACCCACAGCCACCCCTTTCCCCCCAAGGCTACTCAGCCCCACCATACACGTGGCATCCCTGGGGAAGCAGAGCCTACAGGTAGGGCTGCAGCCAGGGTAAGGAGCTTGGCCAGGCATCACGGCAGCCCTGCAGCACAGAGATCTTACACTCGCTCCACAGAAAGCTTTGTATCCACCTTAAACAGGCAATTAAAGGTAAAACAACCTGGTCTTGAGGCAAGATTTACTACAAGAACTGACAAATTCCAGCAGGTTCAAAATTTTATTTGAAGCCTCACCTGCTTTTCTCTATTGGTCTTTCCTTCATAAACCCAGTCCTCATCAAATATGTCAGCAGTGTGCTACCTCAGTACATCATAAAATATGTAAGAATGTACAGGATAACAAAGCAAACGGCTCCAGAAGCAGCAAGGCCCTTGGTATTTCCTGACTTTGGGGTAGTTCTCAGTCTTAGTGCTGCATTAGTGTTATTTTCCAAGTGTTTGATGCAGTATGAACCTCATGTTTTGAGGAATAGAGCTGTACAACGCTGCCCAAAGGAAAGGGAAAATACCCTGAAATGAAATGTGTGATCGTTTACAATGCCGAAAGCTTTTTAGCTACAGGCATTATTTCACAGCCAAGGTAAGCACTCTCTCCTAGGGGTACAACTGCACAGCTGCTGTTCAGAAAAGAAACATGGCTTCTGTTTCCAGTCTATCTTCCCTTCCTAAAATCACACTGATGAGAACTGATCCTCCAGCCCTACAGGTGACAGGGCTGCCCCCAAACCAGGCCACGAGCAGCCAAAAAGGGGTTTTCCTCCAGGCAGACCCTCCAGCCTTCTTCAGCACATTCCCTGCACACAGAAGTGAACACAGCTGTAGGGAAACCCACAGAGCCAACGGACTTACCTGGCCCAGGAAGCAAAAAGGGATATGAAATTCAGAGCTGGCACGATGTTGCCTTAAGGCAGTAGGGTGCCACACGCAAGTCACTGGTGGGAGGCCAGTATAACCAGTGGGGAGAAGAAAGATGATTCTTCAAGAGTCCATCAACCACCCTGGAAACAACAAAGACAGACCATCCAGGTCTGAAGCCTCCATCCAGGGCTGGAGCCAGGCACAACCACAGCACAGTTCAGGGCTGAGCTCAAATGGAGATCTCAGAGCAGGCAGCTGAGGGTGTGTGGGTGGAGGTCTTGGGGCAGTTAAGCCCAATCAGAATCACAACAGGCTGCATGTGGATGCAGGAGCCTTCTCGGGGTGTCTGTGTCTTCAACTCAGAAAAAAACAGGAGGTAGCAATTTTGAGATTCCCCTGTTTAAATACATTGTGAATTGCAGAGCTAAACCAAAAGACTTCTCTAAGCACCTCCTTTGCCTTTGGGCTCTCCAAACTCACCCTAGTTTGCAGAAAGCACAGTATAAATGAGCACATGCAACTCCCCTCCATCAGCTGGAGCACACAGTGAAAAAATGAGTTAACATTTGTATTAAAGTAATTAAACACATATAGCATTCCCAGACAGATATTTTATATAATTTTCCAAGTTCCTTATCCCTGAAAAAGAAATCATATTTCATCTCATGAAGACTTAGAAGCTGGACAATCTCTGGAAAAAAATCTACCTTTCAAGAATGCTAGAAATTGGGAAAATGTATTCTATGCAGCATAAATAAACCTTAGCCTACAAAGAGGCTGCCTTCAGCTATACATATATGAATGTGCAAACATATAATTGATGCATAAATTTATTAATGCAGGCTCAGAAGCTTTACACCTTGTAGTCAAGTTGACATATGATCTTTTTATTTTACTTTCCAATAGGAGAAAAAAAGTAGTGCAGAACTGATAAAACTGTTTGAGATTAAATTGGATTTTCCACTACAGAAAGCTGCTTGGAGACAGGTATTCCAACAGCGAGACACGGTACAAAAAAGTCTCTCAGAGCCTTAACGAGAGTGACAAGGGGAAAAAAATGTGTCTCTGCTCTTCTAGAATGTTACTCCAAATGCTGCTTTTGTCATAAAATACTTCTGCTTCTTTGCAGAAACTATTTTCTTGTTGTCATTATTTTGCAGTATTTAGCTGAAAGGCTGGAACAAGAAAGCTGCATTATGTCAAAATGCCTTATGTGCTATTCAAGCAAAATGTGACACCTGTTTTGGGTATAGCAAGTAATAAACTCATTATGCACTGATTCAAATACCTAAATTTAATATAATGAATAAGATATATGAGGGTTCCCCTCACAGTACTGAGGGATCGTCATTATTAATAAAGTTATCATAAGAAATATGGGATAGCAGTGGGCCTTGGCTGCCTAGAATGAGCTCCCTGCAGAAGTCCAGAGCTTCCTCCATGTTTCCATCCCTTTCTCCATGCAGATCTCCCAGCTAGTCAGGTCCTCCTTCCCCATGCCATTGGGGCTGCCTGAAGTCCACAAACCCTTCTCTGCGACCAGGGAACAGCCTGTCCCTCCTTTCTCCTTCCTGGGACAGTTCACCATATCCCTAACACCCTCACATCCCTTCTGACTTTTCATTTATCTTCCTCTTCTCCTTCCAAGGACACTGTTTCACCTTCACACTTCTCTCTGCCACCAGGAAGGTTTCTTATTCTCTCCCCTATGCCAAAGACAACGTTCATTCCTCAAATCACACCACCTTCCAGCCCACCCAGGATCTCTCAGTCCTTGACTCCACCACATCACTGGGTACAGATGTACTCCCTCCTTCTTCAGGAAGCCTGTTATCTCCTGTTCCCACGGGGTGTCACACATCTTTTATTCCATTTATCGTTTATATTCACAATTCTTGGATAACGAAAAAAGAAAAACCGCAAATCCCCAAACCGTGTCATGAACAGCAGGACAAATGAAAAACTTCCTTTCCTTCAGCTCCCAGATCTCTGCAGTCTAGTAAGAGATGAGGTCTTATTGAAGTTTAGACAAATTGAAGATCCCATTGAAGATGTGAAGTCCCTTACACCCTGAATTATTCTGTTATTCTATGTCAATTTGATCATTGCTGGAGCTGGTAAAAGGTAAAGTTGTGGTTCACAGGCAGCTGTGGTTGAGAAAGCGATGTTAACATCTTTTTTCAGCCAGATCAGATAGTTTCAGTGTCATTGCATATGCAGAGAAGTTCATTCAATCAGGAAAGTTTCAGCTGAAATACACCCAGCAAAATGAACCAGTATTTTCTGGTTTGACTTTGTCATATCACAAAGTAAGTCTAAAGTCACACAGATCAAGGAAAACTTCAGGTCAAAAAATCGTATGCAATTTATTTGACTTTCCTGAAGTGCAGAGAGACAGCAGGTTGTTGCTGGTACTGCTAACAGAGCAGGTAAAGGGAATCCATCTTTTCAAAGAAGAGCATTTGTGGGCTGAGTTATCAGTCAAATACTTTGAGTCAAATACTGAGGACTCAAAGAGTAAATACAGTCTGGCTATGCAAGCTGCTAAAGAAGGTTGTTCGTCACCAAATACCCACATTAGCAAGTTCTGATACACCCAAGGTTGTAAACAGAATTGAAAACATTGAGATTAATTGGGCCTGCTGCACAGGTAATGATGATAAGGCACGTCCATGTAGGAGCCTCTGCTTGGAGTGTCTGGGAGGTTCCAGCTGCAATATAAAAGTTTCTCTCAGATGAGGAGTAAAATCCCATCTTAGCACTGCTATTTTCTGCACAATAATGCAAATATTCATAATTGTTCAGAAAAGCAATTTCTTTTTTGACCTCCTTTTTTATTTTGCAATCAGCACTTATTTTGCTCTACAATCTCTAACACAGTTATTGGTCTTCCTCTGCACTAAGTTTAGCTGTTGCTGAGACAAACAGAACATCACAACAATGTGATGACAAATGCACAGCAGCATTCAGTATAGTCCATGCCATCACACTCCAGAATTCACTTTGCCCTGCTTGTAACAGTTTCTATCTCACCTTT